ACTCAAGACAAGACGCATTTCCCTCTCGGGAATGCAGGATTTCTGTTTACTGAAAACCTTAGCCTTAATATTACAAGATGAACACCAGACTCTGCAGGAATACATCAGCCTCTGAGGCGCCGTTTCAAGTGCGCGCTTGATTTTTAAATAAAGTGGGCATCATCCTGGAACAAGTGGAAAGAGCCAGTATATTCCACAGCGAGCCTAAAGAGAAGTGTCCGCTCACAGTAGCCCCTTGCTCTCTCTGCTGGAATACAGAGCAGCGTGATAATGGATGCTTCTGTCATGAGATACGGTGAAACTCTATGATGCTGTAGGTGAGAGAGACTCCAAGTGGGTCTGTAAATAATGCCTGCCACTTGAAAATAGGTCTCTGCAAACTGCCCCCTTATGCTCTTGCTGCTGGTTGTTGGGTGTAAGTTTTTGTATTATGCAGTGGAAAAAAAAGAAAAAGCAGGAAGGCGGACGATTTTTACATGGGCCCACATTTTGATCCTGGATAAAGTTTCTCTAAATATTATCACAGCTTCCAAACTTTACAGTGATACTGTTAAGGGTGCAAGCTACTGATCTGAGCTGGTAAACATATTGCCTACAAAGAGTTATAACAGAGATTTTATTTATTGCTGATGTTTGAAAACACTTTTTAAATATATTGACACCCTTATTTTTGTGATTTATTCGCATGGTTTAAGTAGTTTAGTGTTTGAGCTGAATACACACTGATAAAAACGGAGATTGGTAAAAATGCATTCCCTAATGTTCAGAAATTATACCTCACACACTCATAAACTAACACTATAAAAACCAGGGAGTATATTAAGCCCCAAAGGCATAACTGTTGTAAGAAAAACAAGAAAAAATGTGAGGAAATGTGAACATCTTCATGTCGTATCCACGCCCTGCGTTCAAATCATAGCAGATTTTCCGTTTTACCTCACGTTTTCAACATAATAAATGTTGTCTTGGGTTAAACAAAACTGAACTTTAATGTAATTAAACCGTAGTACCACAATGGAATTACTATAAAGGAGACAATTATTTCATTTGGTTTTTGGTTTTCTGATCGAAAGAGGGGAAAAAATGACAAAGATGAACACAAAAACATGAGGTTATATTTTTATATAGCAGAGACTTTTTCAAAAAGGTAAAAAATCTGTTTGGTGCGCACTTTTGCATAAAGCCTGAATTGAGAGCTGCTGACTCCATCTGTTTGGCTGCCCCTATTTTTAGACTCCTGTTAAGTGCTTTGTATCTTTTGTTCAAACATCAGATGACACTGGTCCAAATTTCATTTACCCTGCCAAAGTTAAAATAACAAACAAACAAAAAGAAAAAAAAGTCAGATTATGCCTCTCATGCAGGAATACATTTAATATTTATAATAAATCGGATGAAGTGAATCTAAACTAGACACTCGTCTCTTCGATTCAGAGGGAGGGTGAAGAAAACCGAGCCCGAGAGTGACGTACACGTAATCGCTGAGGAGTTGGGGAGTATGGGCCTCTGCTGAGAACTAACCAGTGATAAGGTCCATGAGAAGTTTGAGTTTTATTTCCTCCCCCCTGACTTTTCTGAGAGCTGCACCTTGTTGTCTCCACACGTTTACACTATAACCTCTCAGAAAGTAAGATGACAAAGCTTCCCACCAGAGTAGACGGAGGACAGCCCAAAGACCTGACATGCACTCGTCCTTCTGTCTGACTCATGCTTAGTCGCTCACCACCCACCGACACACAGTGAAACCTCAGTCCCAATGCCAGGTTTTGTCACTGGGCAGAGAAGCGGTTGGCTACAGTAAAAGCATGACGTGATGCCCCCCTTCCTCTATGCTCCCCCAGCCTGTGCAGCAACAGAGGGGTAAAAATATCCCACCAGTGAGTTCAGACAACCAGCTCATAAATTAACACTAAAACTCCTGCAGACAACAGCGAGCCAGTCGCTGAGAGATTTAAACCACTCAGGTTGCCACTGACCATGGCTCTGGGATCAACTTACAAAACCCTTTTCCAAAATTTACCCATTAGGAGGTGGTGAATAAGAACTGGGGTCTATATCAGCTTTCATCCAAGTCACTATTTAGCTGTCCGCTAACATAGCGAACTATTTTTCAAAATGGCTCTGGGGGTGCGTTGTTCCAGGAAATGTTATGAGGTGAGATGTAGGCTATTAGGCCTAAATTGGGAATTGTGTATAACAGAATGGTCTGTTCCTAATTTTCCTCGCTTTCACAGAAAATACGCAAACCATAGGTATAAAGGCCCAGCTATTCACTCATATCTTATTAAGGCTCGCCTGTAATGAAGCGCAATCTCTCACCGCTCTCAAGCAGAAACGCAATGTTCCAGCAAACTGCTTGACTGGGTCAAAAAAAAAGGAAGAAAAAAAAAGGAAAAGGAAAAAACAACAGGAGAGAAGAGTGATGATCCCCTCTAAAGAAACTCAACTCTGTAATGGACGGACAGGGATTACAGACGTTAAAGCCTTCTCCATCTGTAATTCACTGTCACCCTGCCATCATCTCTGAATCACTGATCCACTTTGCAAGTGTGCAAGACCTTGCTAAAAGCATCACTGTTGCACCCATTTGGTGCTGGGGGGGGGGGGGGGAGAGAGAGAGAGAGAGAGAGAGAAAAAGGCATGCAGAGAAGACAAGTTAACAGCTCGCTGTGCTGTTTCAAAGCACTCTCTGTCCTGTAACAACCACCTAGCTAGTTTCTCACACAGGGAATGGGACACACTGATCAAATAGGATTTTAATGAACATCAGCAGTCGGAGCCTGAGGAATACACGCTATGATGGCTTAAAGCTACTGACATCTAGCTTGAGTTGGATTTTCATCATCAAAAGAAACAAGAAAAGAAAACATTCCTTTGCTGGTGCTTCTCGCACAGACGAATCAGGCTGCGAGTCTAAGTACGGCGCGAACTGCCCGTCGATTACAAGGAGAGGGAAGCAAATTCGAAAGCAAGTGGCTGACAGAGCCGTGTGTAGACCACGATCATATCATGCTAACCCCCACATTATCCTCCCAAAAAGAAGAAATAAAATGGATAAGAAAAAGGTCCTTATCTGAAGGCTTTCCTCTAGGAGCCTCTCAGTGGGAGGGAGAGTAAATAAGATGTCATCAATAATAGACAGTGAATGTTCTGCTCTCTCTCTCTCTCTCTCACACACACACACACACCAGCTCCGACTGATTCCTATCCTGCAGACAGGCCTGCCAACCGCCAGCCTTTTTGCACACGCTCAGATTCACTGTCCTGACTAATCGCTTGTGATAGGGGCCTTTGCCATAATTACCCAGGGCCTTATCACAAACTTATGCGATGCATTTTTCATGTCTTGGCTGCTGGCAGTGCCTTCACTGTCCGTGCTGGCAGTCAATCTACGAAAAAAAGACTGATCTCAGACAAATTCACTCACACACACACACGCGCGCGTACACACACCAGTTCAGAGTGGGCAGAATAGGTGAAAGCAGGGTGAAGGGCCAGAGGAGAAAGAGAGAGAGAGGAGAGAGGGAAAAAAATATAAAAGGAAGGGAGGGGGAGGGAGGAGAAGGAGCGAAAGATTGGAAGGGAGCAGGAAGGGGGTGGGAGATAGATAGTGAGGAAAGACAAGAGAAAGCAGTCTCAATTTTTTTTTTTTTTACATAATGCATGAACAAGGGGGCATGAGTAGGAGGACTGAACAGGATCAAATAAATAGGAGAAGTGAAGCCTTGATGATGTGGCGTAAGTGCAACACAAAGCCCCGCTGGGAAGACTTGTTCACTGTCCTTTTGTCTACCCAGTCATAGGGGCATCATGACCTAAATAAAAGTTTAAACCCCAAAGCCCATGCGGTTTGCAAAATAAATGTATGAACAATTGGGCCAAGCCTACATAATGCAATCTTTATGTTAATGACGACAGCAACTGGGGCTACTAATATTCATAAAACTGTAATTTAAAATGCAGCAATGCATGTAAAATGCCACGGGAAAACACAACAGTGCCATTGTCTACACGTCTTGTGATAGGTCAAACACGCTCTAATATACACAGGCTATATTCACGCAATGAATAAGGCCCAATATTTTCCTCGTACCCCCCCTTCTTTCTTTCCCTTCCTGTGCCACGGATCTATCTCCTCCGTGCACGCCGAGATTAGCGAACGTGCGCGCGCGAGCGAGCTCGAGCGTGCGAGGCTGGGACATTTCTGGGAGTTGATCATAATCACAAGGTCATGATCTATCACATTTCCAACGTTCGTGTTTTTAATTGCGTCGCGTCAACAAACACTGTCCCGTCCTGTCCACTTCCCACAGACGTGGCAACGTCTGTGAAAACCTCACTGTGTGTGCAGGGGAAACCGAGAAAAAAAAAGACGGCCGAGTTCATCAAGCATAATCTCTGACACGACTTTAATATAAACTGTTTCACAGCCGTTAGCCGATAAGGTTGCTAATGTTCCCGTCTGCTTTCAACTAAACTTACAGATGTGACAGTTAAAAGCAGAAGGAGGAAAACACAACTAAAAACACTGTTGTGTGTCTGTGCTGCCCGTCTCAACGGTTGGTGTCACCACAGCGCCACCGTATAATAAGTCGCACTTATTTTTTCCCCCTCCGAAATTATCCAACCTTACAACGGCTAAAGCGTCGGGCTAACTACGGCTACTGGCTCCGGTAAAAGTTGAAGAACACGCAATAAAGATAGCCAACCGTGAGCTTTCCGCTAAAGCGCCGCCGTTTGGCTTTTATTTCGGCGCATCCCCGCGGCGTCGCCCCGGCTTGCCCAGTTGCAGTGTCCGATCGATGTTGAATTGAACAAAGAGGATCAATTTCTGATCAGCAAGAGAGCCACTTTCATCAATGTGAGGAAGAGGTCTTGAATTCTCTTCCGAAACACCTCCGAGGCGGTCGCGGAAAAAGACCAGAAACCCGGCCGCCGAAAGAGGCGAGGGGGCCGAAACGAAAAGAAGCGGAGGCGATTTAAACAGAGGCTGAACTGACCTGTAGTTGTTGTAAGTCAAAGCGCTTCCAATATTGAAACATCGATCCTGCATTGGCCGCCATCTTGAGACATATTGAGACAGGAATGAGATGCTGATAGAGAGCGCGGGGGTTGGAGTTCAGTGGAGAGGACCGGGCGGCCGGAACACCCGGAACGGATCACATCCGCTACCCGCCCCTGCAGCAGCTGGCTCACGGAGCGGAGTCACCTTCCAGGAGTGTCACCTTAATAACGCCATTATAATTGCTTAAATAGCATTTTATCAACATTCAGATATTACAGGTAAACAAGCGAATCGGCATTAAATTACTCCCAATTTTATCGCGCTGAAATAGGCGAAGTTGTTCAGCGCCAGATGAGCCCGTGGTTCGTGCTGTAGCTTGTTTTTAATCAGTGTGCGTGTGTGTGTGTGTGAGTGTTACGGAGAGCAAAGATCATACAAAAATAATGCCAGGAGGCTACTTGGAAGCCATATCTAAGATAAATAAATAAATATATATATCCCACCGGGGGAAGCAGCCAGGACCAGTGTTGTTCCTACTGACTTTACTGTGCTGGAAGATCATTTCAAACCACAGTTAAATCATTTTTATTTTCTTTTTTTACACCTACAGTCAGTGTGCCAGCAAATTCAGCCAGCATTAGAAAAAAATCAACTTCCTTTCAGTAGTAGTTTATGCATTTTTTTTTTACATCAAAAAAATAAAACTTTCATTATTCAAGTAGCACACAACTTGTGTTTCGCAGTACTAGAAAAGTTAACATGTGCCAAAGTCAGCTGCAAAAATATGGCTCACCGTGAATTTAAGCATAATTTAATTCATTAGGGCTACTAAACATAGAATAGAGTGGGTGGGGGCGGGGGGGGGGGGGTAACTCTAAATATATGGCCACAATTATCTCAGTTAAATGATCTGTTGCAAATGTTTTGTTTTTGTTATGAAAAGATTGGATCTAGTGTACAAATAGTAAAGAACTGGTAAAAAGATGAAGTGACCTCCAGCTTTTGAGCAGGTTATTTCTTTTAGTTTAGTTTTCTCAGTTTGCAATAATTTGATTAAGGACATGAGCCTTAAGTTTAAGGAATTCTTCAGCGGCACAGATATTAATCAGATTAGTTAATCAAATAAGCTTGTTGTGCTGTTAATCCAGTGAAGTCAGCGCTGCAGCATTCAGCCCAGTGGTCACAGTGTCACTGTGCATGTATATCGTTTGTTGATGCGACCTTGAGCAATGCACTGAACCCAGGCTGCTCCTGAGGCGTCACTCCTGCTGACCATGTCCTCTGACCCTCTCGGTGTGTGGACGTGTCTCAGAGGGATATGCAAAGAATTTCTAATTACCCTGTATGTATGGGGTGCCCTAAATTCCTGTGTCAAACTGCACCGCCTCGTTCACCTTAAAACGCATCACGCCTCGGCTTCGGGTACACCAAACCAGAGCCGAGCTGCTCAGGTTTATCAGGGTGACACATCTGCTCTGCACATTGTTTTCATTTTTAGCACTTTGTGGCTTCCCAAATTTGACTTGTTGAGTGTGTTTTGAGGCCTGGCAGTGTGGAAAATCCACGCCTGCATTCACACTTTGGAGGGTTTTGTTGTTTTTTGTTTTTTTCCTTGAACGCTTGGAGCATTTAACAAAAATATTTCATAGCTTTACCCCCCCACCACCCCCACCCTCAATCATTTTCATTTCTTTACAGCCATTGCACTCTAATTGCTTTGACTAAAAATAACATGAGAATTTGCCATAGATAATAACGCCTCTTTCACTGCATTTTTGTGAATACAAAGGTGGGCATTTTTGTGCTTTGAATTCGCTCAACTTTCAGGCCATTAGTTGATTTGATTTGAAGCTGTTTGTGTCTCCCTCCTCCCAAGAGTATGAATGGTGCTCAGTGCTCAGCTGATATGTAGCCTTAATAGCTTTGCCTTATTTTATACTTCATTTATAGACATAATACAGTGAATTAAAGGCTGGCTTCAGTTTGCTAATCACACCCAGTCACATGCTTTTAATAAAAAATGGACCGAATTGCAGTTAGGAATCAGTCACACGAAGAAATGGATACATCTGCTTTAATTTAATCACTGGGACATAATAGAAGTGTGATTCACATTAAATTGCTCACTAGTCATTTTTAAATACTATTAGCAATTGATCTACAAAAGGAAACAATGAATGCTGTTTAGATGTGCTTATTTTTAGGATAAAACTGCATATGAACGGATAAATCCTGTGTTTAATCCTCTCATTCCTTTCCCTTTGTTAATCAGTGTCTCCTTGTTCTGGCCTCCCTGACTTATGATGCTACCTATCATTAAGCCAAACCAGAAATACAGGTCTGAGATAATCCGTACTAGCTTAGTTGCTTTGCAATGTGTCCATTATGCTGTATTTGTATAGTTATCTCTTCCCATCTCACAAAGAAAACACTGAAAGGAATATGATGCGTGGCTTTCACGCGGCTGGCATTAGTATGAGGAGTAAAACAGAAAGGAAAAGTTACGTGTGCTGATCGATAAAAAACATGGGACATGTACATGCAAGGGACAAATTAAAGCAATAATAACCAAACTTAGTAAGGTGCTGGGTCACAATGTTTCCGAGTCTCTGGGAATCAACTGGAGGGATGAATACCATTCATCCAAAACGGATTCCCTCATTTGGTGTTTTGATGATAGTGGTGGTGGGGAGAGCCGTTTAACACACCAGTGCAAAAGCTCCTGCAGGTGTTCCACCGGGTTGAGATCTGGTGACTGCGAAGGTCACACATTGAATTATTCACATCATTTTCACAATCATCAACCGGTTTTGTGACAAACAACCAGAGTGAGTTTTTATTGATTCGCACTGACCTTTCGTCTAACAGCGAAAAACGATCCAAATTGTGCAAGAAAAATTCCCCCAAAAGTACAAAAGAGCCACTGCTGGTGTACATGAGTCAATTTATACTTGGTTAATGTTGTGAGGAGTTTAACCCAGATTCATGTTTTACTCTAACCAACCTGTAAAATATAGATAAATATAATAACAATAATAAGTCAAATCTAAAAAAGGATCCTAGTTGGACACTCCTGAGTGAAAGTCTTCTGTTTTGACCCAAACACCTAGCTTGACCTCCCCCCTTTGTGGACTGCTTTACACTTTATAGTTTCTCACCTGACTTCTAAAGCCTTGAGTGGCAGAAAGCAAACTTCTCCCCTTCATACAACATCTGTCTTTAAGATTGCTCTTTTGTAATGTTTGAAGGAGCGTCACGGTCATCAGTTGTGTACCATCCACCATGATTTCCAGTGGATCTAAATGCAGATGTCCTTTAAGTCAATGAAGCAAATAACAGTTGAGCGTTGTGACTGAAGCTTCTGCCCCTTCTTTCAAAGGGATCTTTTCCTCCTTCCATTGTGGTAGAAAATGAGAATCCACTGGGCCTGCTCAGCATTTATCTACATGCCACGGAGCATGAGTGGATGTTAATTGCTTAATTGTACCATGCAGTGCACCTGTGTGGAAACATCTGCACTGGCTGTGTCTCTCCACTCATTTATTCAGGGTTTTTCTTTTAGATAGCCTCATTTATTATTGCAGATGTTTTGCTTTGCACGGGATGACTAAATTAGTCAGATATTGTGATTGGAGTGCCTTTGTTTATCCGTGATGCAGTCCATGTTCAGTACAAGAAAAAAGAAACACTGTGGCAGACATGAGGCAAAAAAATAAATCACTCAAAACTCTGGAACAGTGAAAGATTTTTAAAATCTTCCTTTCAAAATCAGTCATTACAAATAAGGGACAGTTGTATAAATAGGATAGACCATAAAATAATTAACAATAACCCATGACTAGACTCTTATCTACGCACATAAAAAGCGTTTTCTTATCAGCGAGACCATTAAATGTTGCTGTGGCTAATGGTCACTTATCCAAACAGAACAGAGGTCTTACGCTTTTTATTTACATGAATTGTTCCAAGTGTTGATGCCAAATTGTTGTCAAGGTGTAATGTGCTAATGTAATTTAGCTTTAAAAGAAAAGAAAAAAAGATCTTTCTAAAAAAAAGATCTTTCGCACAAGTCTACAAGCCGTGAACATTACCAGTCAGTTGATTTTGTGCTGCGCTCTTCTCAAACTCCGCATTTCAACACACAGCATCTCCATGAGGATTTGACTGAAGCTTCACTTGGCTCTGGATTACTTTGAAGCAGCAGGGGGTGCACAGTGTAAGTCGGAACAAGTAACAGTCAGAGTTATCAAACTGCCTACAAATGATCGTGTTCCTGCTACAGAGGTTCATGCATGTTTGCCATGAATGACACGAGTTCGGTGGGGTTTTTTTCTCCTTTTCTAACTTGCCTTTTTATTACTCTGTGGTTAAAATTAGAGGGGAGGAAAAACAGCTCAAATTGCTCATGACACGAACAACAGGAGGAACATGTTGTGATTTGGAAATTTAACGTCTAAAAAGCCTCATCAGTACTTCTGGTTAAAGTTTAAATGTATAGAAATAGGCACAGATTCTGTGTCGCTGCCATTATACAACTAGAGCCAGAGCCACGGGCTAAAAGCAGCCTTTCTGTCCTTTAGCTTTCCCACTTTTCTCTGTTTATGTCCCTTTTCCTCCTGCTCATTGACTCTGCCTGTAAGGTGCTTTTAGCGGGCCTTGTGTGGCCGGGTTAGAGATGGATGTGTGGCCCTTGGGAGCCGCAGGCAGAGTGCAACACTGATCATGTCAGACAGGCTGGGGAGGCTGCATAAGATCATCATCACCCAGCAGTGGAGTGAATCGCCGCAGTGGCACTTTCACACAACCTCTGACCTCCGGTGCAACCTCTGAGGTCATGATCAAGGTCAGGGGTCAGCGAGGGCCTCAGCGATCGTGGCGTCCGCAGGCCCCGCCTGGCTCTTCTTCTCCTTGTTTGTGTTCTCTCCTTCATTTTTCTCCTCTCACTTTTCTCTTCCCCTCATCTTCTATCTGTTTCTTTATCGCTCACGCTCTCTGTTCGCCCCGGCGGGACCAATTGAGACATCCAATCCCCTGGGAGTGTGAAAAGGAGAGCAAGAGAAAATCAATAGGGAAGATGAGTGAAGACCTGGAGGTCCCATCAAAAACTGAATGCTTCTCTGTGTGCTGGCATGATTCACACATCCACAAAAACACATACAGATACACAGCGGTATTGCTTTTGAGAGACAGGAAGGCAGCAGTAAACAGCAGTCTGGAAATCGT